GAGGGGATAGCATGCAGGGCTGTAGTGGAGCGGGTCGAGAGCTTCATGTTCCTAGCCGTATTTGTCCTCTTGCTCAGTTGTGCACCGGGGCCTCCCACTCTTCTTTTATTCTGGTTAGGGCCAGTTTGCGCTGTTCTGTGAAGGGAGTAGTACACAGCGTTGTACGAGATCTTCAGTTTCTTGGCAATTTCTCGCATGGAATAGCCTTCATTTCTCAGAACAAGAAGAGACTGACGAGTTTCAGAAGAAAGTTCTTTGTTTGAGCATAGACTGACGAGTTTCAGAAGAAAGTTATTTGTTTCTGGCCATTTTGAGCCTGTAATCGAACCCACAATTGCTGATGCTCCAGATACTCAACTAGTCTCAAGAAGGCCAGTTTTATTGCTTCTTTAATCAGCACAACAGTATTCAGCTGTGCTAACATAATTGCAAAAGGGTTTTCTAGCCTTTTTAAATGATAAACTTTGATTGGCATACATAACGTGCCATTGGAACACAGGACTGATGGTTGCTGATAATGGGCCTCTGTACGCCTATGTAGATATTCCATTAAAAATCAGCCGTTTCCAGCTACAATAGCCATTTACAACATTAACAATGTCTACACTGTATTTCTGATCAATTTGAGTGGCACAGCGGTCTAAGGCACTGCATCTCAGTGCTTGAGGCGTCACTACAGACCCCCTGGTTCGATTCCAGGTTGTATCACAACCGGCCGTGATTGGGAGTCCCATAGGGCGGCGCACAATTGGCCCAGCGTCGTCCGGGTTTGGCCGGTGTAGGCCGTCATTGTAAATAAGAATTTGTTCTTAACTGACTTGCCTAGTTAAATAAAGGTTTAATAAATAAATAAATAACAAAAATATTTTTATGGACAAAAAAGTAGTGTAAGTATTCAGACCCTTTGCTATGAGACTCAAAATTGAGCTCAGGTGCATCCTGTTTCCATTGATCATCCTTGAGATGTTTCTATAACTTGATTGGTCAATTCAATTGATTGGACATGATTTGGAAAGGCACACACCTGTCTATATAATATAAGGTCCCACAGTTGACAGTGCATGTCAGAGCAAAAACCAAGCCATGGGGTCGTAGGAATTGTCCGTAGAGCTCAGATCTGGGGAAAGGTACCAAAAAATTCTGCAGCATTGAAGGTCCCTAAAAACACACTGGCCTCCATCATTATTAAATGGAATAAGTTTGGAACCACCAAGCCAAACTGAGCAATCGTGGGAGAAGGGCCTTGGTAAGGGAGGTGACCAAGAACCCAATGTTCACTCTGACAGAGCTCCAGAGTTCCTCTGTGGAGATGGGAGAACCTTCTAGAAGGAAAACCATCTCTGCAGCACTCCACCAATCAGGTCTTTATGGTAGAGTGGCCAGACGGAAGCCACTCCTCAGTAAAAGGCACATGACAGACCGCTTGGAGTTTGCCAAAAGGCACCTAAAGGACTCTCAGACCATGAGAAACAAGATTCTCTGGTCTGATGAAACCAAGATTGAACTCTTTGGCCTGAATGCCAAGAGTCACGTCTGGAGGAAACCTGGCACCATCCCTACGGGGAAGCATGGTGGTGGCAGCATCATGCTGTGGGGATGTTTTTCAGCGGCAGGGACTGGGAGACTAGTCAGGATCGAGGGAAAGATGAACGGAGCAAAGTACAGAGAGATCCTTGATGAAAACCTGCTCCAGAGTGCTCAGGACCTCAGACTGGGGCGAAGTTTCACCTTCCAACAGGACAATGACCCTAAGCACACAGCCAAAACAGGAGTGGCTTCGGGACAAGTCTCTAAATGTCCTTGAGGGGCCCAGCCAGAGCCCAGACTTGAACCCAATCGAACATCTCTGGAGAGACCTGAAAATAGCTGTGTAGCGACGCTCCCCATCCAACCTGACAGAGCTTGAGAGGATCTGCAGAGAAGAATGGAAGAAACTCCCCAAATACAGGTGTGCCAAGCTTGTAGCGTCATACCCAAGAAGACTCGAGGCTGTAATCGCTGCCAAAGGTGCTTCAACAAAGTACTGAGTAAAGGGTCTGAATACTTATGTAAATGTGATATTTCCATTTTTTATTTGTAATAAATTTGCACACATTTCTAAAAACCTGTTTTTGCTTTGTCATTATGGGGTATTGTGTGTAGATTGATGAGGGGGGGGGGGGGGGGGGGGGGGGAAACAATTTAAGCCATTTTAGAATACGGCTGTAACGTAACAAAATGTGGAAAAAGTCAAGGGGTCTGAATACTTTCCGAATACACTGTATACACATCATTTCCTGCTGCTACTCTGTTCTTTATTTTACTCTTATTATTATCTATCCTGATGACTAGTCACTTTACCCTGCCTTCATGTACATATCTACCTCAAATACCTTATTATTATCTATCCTGATGCCTAGTCACTTTACCCTGCCTTCATGTACATATCTACCTCAAATACCTTATTATTATCTATCCTGATGACTAGTCACTTTACCCTGCCTTCATGTACATATCTACCTCAAATACCTTATTATTATCTATCCTGATGCCTAGTCACTTTACCCTGCCTTCATGTACATATCTACCTCAAATACCTTATTATTATCTATCCTGATGCCCAGTCACTTTACCCTGCCTTCATGTACATATCTACCTCAAATACCTTATTATTATCTATCCTGATGACTAGTCACTTTACCCTGCCTTCATGTACATATCTACCTCAAATACCTTATTATTATCTATCCTGTTGCCTAGTCACTTTACCCTGCCTTCATGTACATATCTACCTCAAATACCTTATTATTATCTATCCTGATGCCTAGTCACTTTACCCTGCCTTCATGTACATATCTACCTCAAATACCTTATTATTATGTATCCTGATGACTAGTCACTTTACCCTGCATTCATGGACATATCTACCTCAAATACCTTATTATTATCTATCCTGATGCCTAGTCACTTTACCCTGCCTTCATGGACATATCTACCTCAAATACCTTATTATTATCTATCCTGATGCCTAGTCACTTTACCCTGCCTTCATGTACATATATACCTCAAATACCTTATTATTATCTATCCTGATGCCTAGTCACTTTACCCTGCCTTCATGTACATATCTACCTCAAATACCTTATTATTATCTATCCTGATGACTAGTCACTTTACCCTGCCTTCATGTACATATCTACCTCAAATACCTTATTATTATCTATCCTGATGCCTAGTCACTTTACCCTGCCTTCATGTACATATCTACCTCAAATACCTTATTATTATCTATCCTGATGACTAGTCACTTTACCCTGCCTTCATGTACATATCTACCTCAAATACCTTATTATTATCTATCCTGATGCCTAGTCACTTTACCCTGCCTTCATGTACATATCTACCTCAAATACCTTATTATTATCTATCCTGATGACTAGTCACTTTACCCTGCCTTCATGTACATATCTACCTCAAATACCTTATTATTCTCTATCCTGATGACTAGTCACTTTACCCTGCCTTCATGTACATATCTACCTCAAATACCTTATTATTATCTATCCTGATGCCTAGTCACTTTACCCTGCATTCATGTACATATCTACCTCAAATACCTTATTATTATCTATCCTGATGCCTAGTCACTTTACCCTGCCTTCATGGACATATCTACCTCAAATACCTTATTATTATCTATACTGATGACTAGTCACTTTACCCTGCCTTCATGTACATATCTACCTCAAATACCTTATTATTCTCTATCCTGATGACTAGTCACTTTACCCTGCCTTCATGTACATATCTACCTCAAATACCTTATTATTATCTATCCTGATGCCTAGTCACTTTATCCTGCATTCATGTACATATCTACCTCAAATACCTTATTATTATCTATCCTGATGCCTAGTCACTTTACCCTGCCTTCATGGACATATCTACCTCAAATACCTTATTATTATCTATCCTGATGCCAAGTCACTTTACCCTGCCTTCATGTACATATCTACCTCAAATACCTTATTATTATCTATCCTGATGACTAGTCACTTTACCCTGCCTTCATGTACATATCTACCTCAAATACCTTATTATTATCTATCCTGATGCCAAGTCACTTTACCCTGCCTTCATGTACATATCTACCTCAAATACCTTATTATTATCTATCCTGATGCCAAGTCACTTTACCCTGCCTTCATGTACATATCTGCCTCCAATACCTCGTACCCCTGCACAGTGGTACTAGTACTCCCTATATATAGCTTAATTCTTGTGTATTTAATTCCTTTTGTGTTACTATTTAAATTGTTCAGATTTTTTTTAAACTCTGCAACGTTGGGAAGGGCTCATAAGTAAGCATTTCACGGTAAAGTCTACGCCCGTTATATTCGGCGCATGTGACAAATAAAATTTGATTTTGTTTAAGTGCCATTTGGGATGTAGCCTGTATGAAGGCTGTATGTAGCCTTTATGAAGTCTGTATGTAGCCTTTATGAAGTCTGTATGTAGCCTTTATGAAGTCTGTATGTAGCCTTTATGAAGGCTGTATGTAGCCTTTATGAAGTCTGTATGTAGCCTTTATGAAGTCTGTATGTAGCCTTTATGAAGGCTGTATGTAGCCTTTATGAAGTCTGTATGTAGCCTTTATGAAGGCTGTATGTAGCTTGTATGAAGTCTGTATATAGCCTTCATGAAGTCTGTATATAGCCTGTATGAAGGCTGTATGTAGCTTGTATGAAGACTGTATATAGTCTTTATGAAGGCTGTATGTAGCCTTTATGAAGGCTGTATATAGCCTGTATGAAGGCTGTATGTAGCTTGTATGAAGGCTGTATATAGCCTTTTATGAAGGCTGTATGTAGCCTTTTATGAAGGCTGTATGTAGCCTGTATGAAGGCTGTATGAAGCCTGTATGTAGACTGTATGAAGGTTGTGATTTACATGAATTGTTTTATTTATAAATCACAGTGTATATGGACATTGTTTGATTTGTCTGTGCGCCCCGTCTCCAGATTTCCAACACAAGATCACTGTGCAGGCCTCTCCCTCTCATGATCGACGCAAGAGTTTAATGAGCAGCCTCTCCAGCCCTCCCACCAGTCCCCAGGCCCTGTTACTACCACGCCTCCGAGCCATCCAACGTAAGCACTATATTCTATTTACATTACATTTGACCTTTTTTATTTTATTTTAGCAGACGGTCTTATCCAGTGTGACTTACAATCAGCTGATATATCCTCCCAGGTTTGGGTTGGACCATTGACCATAATTACAGTTCAGCACATGTTCTGTATTATTTGGAAACGTTATGTATTTTTAGTTAATGTTTATTTGCCATGTGTAATGAAAACATCTTACTAACCAGAGTTCCCATGACAAAAACACATTCCATGTTTTTGTTTTTGTAAATGTGAACTTCTTGTTCCATGTTTTAGTTTTTGTAAATGTGAACTTCTTGTTCCATGTTTTTCCAGTGACTCCAGGAGGAGAGGGGTGTAAAGGTAAAGGCTGGGGCCGGCTGGATGAAGAGGAAGAGAGGAGAGGTTCCAGGAAGAAGGTCCGTATCAGGGGCTCACACAGAGAACACAGTGATGATGAGAGGTGAGAGGAGGGAGGAGAGGAGGGGTGAGGAGGGGTGAGGGTGGGGGGGGGGCAGAGAGCAGGGGTCAGGGTGAGGGAGGGTGGGGGGAGCAGGGGTCAGGGTGAGGGAGGGTGGGGGGGGGCAGGGAGCAGGAGTCAGGGTGAGGGAGGGTGGGGGGAGCAGGGGTCAGGGTGAGGGAGGGGGAGCAGGAGTCAGGGTGGGGGGGGCAGGGAGCAGGAGTCAGGGTGAGGGAGGGGTGGGGGGAGCAGGGGTCAGGGTGAGGGGAGGGGGAGCAGGAGTCAGGGTGGGGGGGGCAGGGAGCAGGGGTCAGGGTGAGGGAGGGTGGGGGAGCAGGGGTCAGGGGTGAGGGAGGGTGGGGGGGGCAGGAGCAGGGTGAGGGGAGGGTGGGGGGGGCAGGGACAGGGAGCAGGGCGAGGGAGGGTGGGTGGGGGGGGCAGGGAGCAGGGGTCAGGGTGAGGGAGGGGGAGCAGGGTCAGTGGTGAGGGAGGGTGGGGGGGGCAGGGAGCAGGGTCAGGGGAGGGGGGGAGCAGGGTCGGGTGAGGGAGGGGGGGGCAGGGAGCAGGGGTAAGGGGGGGGGCAGGGAGGGGGGGGTGGGGGGGGGCAGGGTCAGGGTGAGGGAGGGGGGAGGAGGTCAGGGTGAGGGGGGTGGGGGGGAGCAGGGATGTCAGGGGGAGGGTGGGTGGGGGTGGCAGGGAGCAGGGTGAGGGAGGGTGGGGGGTGGGCAGGGGCAGGGACGGGGAGGGAGGGGGGTGGGGGGGGCGGGGAGAAGGGGTAGGGGCAGGGAGGGAGGGAGGGTGGGGGGGGGCGGGGTGAGGGAGGGTGAGGGAGGGAGGGGGGTGGGGGGTGGGTGGGGGGAGGGGCCAGGGGGAGGGGGTGGGGGTGGAGGACAGACCTGTGTGGTGTCGTGCATGCGAGGCAGGGTACAACGAGCTGAGTAGGGGACGAAAGGGGTCAGTAAGATGCAGTAGGTGGGGTCTATGTGCTGTCTTGCATGACAACGACCAGGCTACAACAGACCTTACTAAAACCAAAGTGGATAGTTAACATGCCACTATTTATGTGTCTATTTAGTGATTCTCTATAGCTCTTTATCTCCTGTCCTTACCAGCATCAAGGTCCCTCAGGAGGGGAACAGACAGAGGTCCTGCAGCGCCCCAAATCTCCGCAGGTCACCCAGACACAGCCCTGCCGTACCAGGGGTACCCAGCCTCACTGAGATGGGTAAGGACTGAAATAACATTATCAGAGATGGGTAAGGACTGAAATAACATTATCAGAGATGGGTAAGGACTGAAATAACATTATCAGAGATGGGTAAGGACTGAAATAACATTATCAGAGATGGGTAAGGACTGAAATAACATTATCAGAGATGGGTAAGGACTGAAATAACATTATCAGAGATGGGTAAGGACTGAAATAACATTATCAGAGATGGGTAAGGACCTTATCAACAAAGTGTATGCCAATCAATAGCCACAATAATGTAATGTAGTGAAACCCTCTCCTCCCAGTAGAGAATGAAGACGGCTGCTACACCACTGAGCCAGAGAGACGGGCCGACGCATCCCCCAGCCAATCCTACCTCTGCATCCCCTTCCACAGGGAGGGGCCTGTTGCCGATGGTAGTAACGCAGGAGGAGGCGGGGAGTACTGCCCTAGTTACCATAGCACCCCGGCCCCGGACACACCCCCCAGTAGGAAGAGTCCTGGTGGGCGGGGGAGGTCAGAGCTGGTGCTACTGGGGTGTGGGGCTTTGCTGGCTGCAGTGGGACTGGGCTTCAATATGACGACCCTGGCCCAGCCTGGGACTGGTTCTGGTTCTGGGGCTGGGACTGAGGGGGCTGGGGAGAGCAGCAAGCCACCTCGCTGGGAGGGCTTCTTCCACCGTACAGGGACAGGGGCCCAGAGACGGAGCACCAGTCCCCCCACACGCAAGCTCTTCAGGCGGGGAGGGGACAAGGAGAGCCCCCTGAAGCACTCGGTGGCGCCGGTGACGGAGCGGGTTGGAGGCGGACTGTTTCCGTCCTCTCTCACACTGCTGTCGCTGTCGTCTGTGTCGGACTGTAATTCTATGCGGTCTCTGTTACGATCTGATAGTGAGGAACTGTTGGTCTACCGCCCTGCCTCTCCCCGGGCCCCTGTTCAGCCTGTTCAGCCTCAGCTCCAGCCCCAAACCCTTGTTCACCCCGAGCCCCAGCCCCAGCATGCCCCACTCAACCCCTTGGTCAACACACACCTGGAGAGCTTCAAGCGTCACCCTCGGCAGTCCCTGACCCCGACTCATCTCCCCTCTGCTCCATCATCCTCACGCTGTCTACATCGGACCCCCTCCGACGGAGCCATCAAGACACGCTGCCCTCCAAACTATATCCACCCTTTTCCTTTACCCGTCAGAGCAACTCTGGAGACCACAGGTAGCTTTACTGTTCTCCTACAGACATATTTTTTTTGTTGATCTGAGAAATGTTTATTCTGCTCTAGCTATATGACCTGATCATTCTTAATATCCCTAGATGTTCTACAACTGTTTTTCTTTCTCTATTCCCCAAACAGCTGGAGGTCTCAGGGGTCTAAGTGACCACGTATCCCAGGTTCCCCGGTTGCCAGATCCAAATCTGGTGTTTCCCCCCACACCCCGCCGCCGCTGCCCTCCTGAACGACCTAAAACCCTGGACTTCCTGGTTAGACCACGCCCCTCGCCACGGGTGCGCTGCGACGTCTTCTCGGGCCAATCACCTGGGCGGGGCAGAGGAGGGGGGCAGGGACAGGGGAATGGAGAGTCCCCAGCCCACACCACCAGCACAGACACCCCTCCCACGGTGGAGTTTGGCAGGGACATGACCGCGCTACCTACCCCCTTGGAGCTCCCGACACCATCCCCAAGGAGGGGACACAGTCTGGAGGCCCCGACGCCCTCACCAAGGAGGGGACACCCAATGCTAACCCATCACATGGAGGTACTAGCCACCCCCATGGAGCCCCCTACACCCTGCTCAACCTCCCCACGGCGGAGGGGGGACAGTCTGCTGGACCAACACGACGAGGAACAGTGTCTGGACCCAACCCTCCCACTCTGCAAGCCCGAGTCCCAGTTCCCCAAATGCTCCCCGTACCGCTACCGGCCTGGGTTCTGGTCCTAACCCGGTCCAGTCTGGGTTCTGGTCCTAACCCGGTCCAGTCTGGGTTCTGGTCCTAACCCGGTCCAGTCTGGGTTCTGGTCCTCACCTGGTCCAACCTGGATTCTGATCCTAACTCGGTCCCTCTAGCGCTACCAGCCTGGGTTTTGGTTGTAAACTGATCCAATCTGGGTTGTGGTCCTAACCCGGTCTCGGTTGTGGTCCTAACCCGGTCCTTGTAATGCTACCGGCCTGGGTTCTGGTCCTAACCTGGTCCAGTCTGGGTTCTGGCCCTAACCTGGTCCAGTCTGGGCTCTGGTCCTAACCCGGTCCCCGTACTGCTACCAGCATGGGTTCTGGTCCTAACTTTGGATCCTCTCTTAAAATCCCAACAGAATCCTCTCCTAGAACCCTAGAAATACACCCAGCCCACACTGTTACAGAGGAGGAGAGGGTGACTGGGCCCAGCCCACACTGTTACAGAGGAGGATAGGGTGACTGGGCCCAGCCCACACTGTTACAGAGGACGATAGGGTGACTGGGCCCAGCCCACACTGTTACAGAGGAAGATAGGGTGACTGGGCCCAGCCCACACTGTTACAGAGGAGGAGAGGGTGACTGGGCCCAGCCCACACTGTTACAGAGGAGGAGAGGGTGACTGGGCCCAGCCCACACTGTTACAGAGGAGGAGAGGGTGACTGGGCCCAGCCCACACTGTTACAGAGGAGGAGAGGGTGACTGGGCCCACTAATAGGCTCTTAGGCTCTGGATTGTTCATGCCACAGAATTCTCTTTTTGTTTGGTCTGAGTTCTTCTCTCACCTATACGGAGCAATATATTTAGAGAGCTGGGACATTGAGGTTTCTGCATTATGATGCATTTTACATGACACTACAACATCATATGGCAGCCATGCTAGCTCCCCATTAACATTAAACGGGGCATATTTAAACAAATGCTATGTCACGGAATGTCTAGAATTAGAACAATATTTGAAATTCTAAAAGTTGGACCTACTCTTTAAATATATGTCTCTGGTCCTATCTGTCTGTCTGTTATTAAAGTGGAACTGACAGCGTGTTAACTACTTTGCAGATATGAAACAAACAGACAATCGTAATATCATTATAAAATATAAACTTCCCAGTTTATGCTACAGAACCAACTTTATAAGAGGTTTTAAAAATCGGTTCTGTTTGACTCAAAACGTACAATAAGGTATTGGTGGCAGAATAAATGGATGCAGTTCAATGCATGAATACTATAATTCACCAATACATTTCTTCGTAGTCCCAAAAAATTGCTATCAGGTTGTAAATCACAGCTCGTACATTTTTTTGCTGCCACCACCCATTCGGGATGCACTGTTTCAGTTTCAATGACACAATATTTGACAAAAACAGGGCCCTAACATTAGCTAGCGATCTGCTGGGAGGATGTCATGTCATTGGAGGAGTGACTGACCTACTTTTTCCCCATCATCGTTTTTTTCGGTGGCTACAGCTCGAGAGATGCGGGTGTCATTTGGTTAGTTAGCAAGAAATGTGAATCGCTTTGCTAGCTAGCTATGCTGAACTTGAACGACTGTTATCCAGTTAGCATATCTCTTTACGAAGGCGCTGAATATGGCCGGTGTCAGTAAACTTTGGCAAAAAATTGTAGCCAGCAGCACAGTTGGTCACTAACGCTCTGGATAACATGAAAACATCCTAACCAGCTCTGCTAGGGCGAGTAAAATGGTCAGAGTGAGCTGTTCTCTCATTTGTGTCTGGAAGTAGCAAGCAAACTAGCCAACTTTAGACAGTTAGCTTGACTGCGGTTGTGAGGAACGCTCGGATCAACCCTACTCCTCGGCCAGAGCGTCCAGTAAGCAATGGTAGTGTACACTCTGAATTTATGAACAGACAATCTGACAACGCTCTGAATTTATGAACAGACAATCTGACAACGCTCTGAATTTATGAACAGACAATCTATCAACGCTCTGAATTTATGAACAGACAATCTGTCAACGCTCTGAATTTATGAACAGACAATCTGACAACGCTCTGAATTTATGAACGCAGAGCGCACACACTGGAGGCAATTTACAGACACATCCTTAGTTGTCAATTCAAATGTATTTGGCATAGATCAAATGGGTGGGCAGGCAAGTTCCCATTCAGTTGTCAAAACCTGGGTTGGGACAAGCATGCATCATTGGCAGGCAATGCTACAGAAGGACTAGCAGGCTACTACTCCCCATCGTTTATCAGTGCAATTTTGACGGCCAACTAGCTGAAAAATGTTATCTAATGTTCCCTCCTTAGATTTTAGCTAATCTCGCTCTGACTAGCATTAGTTGTTAATCTTGTTGTTAATGTGCATAACTGAGGGAGAGAGAGCTTACCTTTTCATAGTTGTTTGATCAATAGGACTGTAAAGTTCCCAAATGTAAGAGGACTCCCGTGGTATTTGCAGAAATCCATTCAGGTGTATTTTGTGGCTTTTGGTGAATGCGTTCTAATGATCTAAAGTCACTCTGTTGCTACTGCCTGTAAACACACAGTCCAGTTCAAAGTTAATGATGGCAGACCCGTGTGGCAAATGGCTTGTTTGCATAAAGTCCTACTGTAGCTCTGATTGACTATGGCACACCAGTCTGCATAGACTCTGGTCCTGGACGAGATAGATGTTTTTATTAGGTTTTATTTACTGCAGTGTCTATTAATTGTCCAAACGCACGGCCACTTTCCCACTCTATATTACTATTGAATTTTCACATACCTTACTCTACGTCATTCCCAAAACATTCTATGATTTTATGAAAACGTGAAAATGACCATATCTAAGTGCTTGTTTGTCAGAAAATGTTTAAAAAAATAAGTGTACTATTCTTCCTGGGGGTGTATATGAACAGACTGTAATAAGATTTAAAGTTGCTAAAACGCTGGCAGTTCCACTTTAGACTTACTGTAAATCCCTATGATGAGCTGATGCTATGGCTGGAGTGCTGCTGGCTGGGATCCAGCACAGGCCTGGGGCGCTGATAACGTCACAAAGCTTTACATTTTTTTTTATTTGTATTCAAGAGTTCAAGATTGTGCATTTAAACAAGTGCACTTTTTGGGCAGCGTCATGAATGTAAAGCTTGGTTTTGTTTGAGTATTTCTCCCATTTTTATTCAGTGTTATTTTCTGCAAGCAAAAAAAAAACTCAACTCGCTCTGTGTCACTTGATTGATTTTGTATCTCGTCACACTTGAATGTTTTCTGCCGTTTTATATAATGGGCTGCTGCTTGTGTTACAGTCACGCTTCCTTCCTTCTGTTAGATCTCTGTATTCGCGTCCCAAATAGCACCCTATTCCCTTTATAGTGTACTAGATAGTGTATTAGATAGTGTACTACTATTGAACAGGGCCCATAGAGGCCCATTTGGGACGCACACTACATCTCAAATCTTCACCACTGAACACTTCCAGAAAATATCCCGATAAAAGGGATGTTTGTAAATGAACACGTCACTTTGCACCGCCCATCACCACAGGGATTCAGTGACATGCTATAACCATATAGATGATGTAAATATATCTCTATCGGGATTTGGGTCAATTCCATTTCAATTCCAGTCAATTCAGGAAGTACATTGAAATTCCAATTCCAATTCCAATTCTAAATGCTTTTCAATGAGGATTTGGAATTGGGAACTTGGTTTACTTTCTGAATTGACTGTAATTTAAATGGAATTGACCCCAACCCTGATCTCTACATACAGTTGAAGTCGGAAGTTTACATACACCTTAGCCAAATACATTTAAACTCAGTTTTTCACAATTCCCGACATTTAATCCCTAGTAAAAATGTGCTGTATTTGGTCAGTTAGGATCACCACTTTATTTTAAGAATGTGAAATGTCAGAATAATAGTAGAGAGAATGATTTATTTCAGCTTTTATTTCTTTCATCACATTCCCAGTGGGTCAGACGTTTACATACACTCAATTAGTATTTGGTAGCATTGCCTTTAAATTGTTTAACTTGGGTCAAACATTTCGGGTAGCCTTCCACAAGCGTCCCACAATAAGTTGGGTGAATTATGGCCCATTCCTCCTGACAGAGCTGGTGTAACTGAGTCAGGTTTGTAGGCCTCCTTGCTCGCACACGCTTTTTCAGTTATGCCCACATATTTTCTATAGGATTGCGGTCAGGGCTTTGTGATGACCACTCCAATACCTTGACTTTGTTGTCCTTAAGCCATTTTGCCACAACTTTGGAAGTATGCTTGGGGTCATTGTCCATTTGGAAGACCCATTTGCGACCAAGCTTTAACTTCCTGACTGATGTCTTGAGATGTTGCTTCAAATATCCACATAATTTTCCTTCCTCATGATGCCATCTATTTTGTGAAGTGCACAGTCCTCCTGCAGCCCAAAACACCCCCACAGTGATGCTCCACAACACCCGTGCTTCACGGTGGGATGGTGTTCTCCCGGTTCTTATGGCGTTTTGGAGCAGTGGTTCTTCCTTGCTGACAGCCTTTCAGGTTATGTCGATATAGGACTCGTTTTTTACTTGTGGATAAAAACAAGGAAAAAAGTATTTTATCCCCTGCTGATTTGTAGTTGCCCTGGCAAAAAAGATCAGTCTATAATTTTAATGGTAGGTTTTATTTGAACAGTGAAGACGAATAACTCAAAAAAATCCAAAAGGGAAAAAAGCATGTCAAAAAATGTTATAAATTTTTTTTGCATTTTAATGAGGGAAAAAGTTTTGACCCCCTTCAATCAGAAAGATTTCTGGCCCAGTTCTTTTCAGCTAACGAGTGAGATTGGAGCACATCTTTAAAAGGGGGTGCTCCAATCTCAGCTGTTACCTGTATAAAAACACCGTCCCCAGAAGCAATCAACCCAAACAGATTTCCCAAAAATCTCCACCATGCCAAGGGCCAAGAGGTCTCCCAAAGGGTGTCAGGGACAAGATTAGACCCTTTCACAAGGCTGGAATTTTTTTTTGGGCTACAAGACCATCGCCCAAACACTTGG